GAAATCATGTGGTCCTCTCAAGTATACAGTATTTCAATTAAAATAAAACCATAAAATCCTTTTTCTTTTTTAAAAGTACCATCTAGCATATAATTTATTTGGATGAACTCTACAAATACACACATTATATCATGCTACAAGAACTTGAGAACCACTTTTTTCTTGTTCCCAGGGTCTCTTGACTGTTGGTAAGTCATAATGATAGAATCGGTTTACAGTTGCAAATTCTGCCAAATATCTCACAAATTACATTTGGCAAACAGCGCTGCCTCTGTTTCACAAAGATAATGATCTGATGCTTTGTTTATGTGGCACCAAAGGAAAATATTGTTCTAGAGCTTGTGATAGAATTTCAGAAAGTTTGTGTGGTATTCTAAACTTCTGATACACTTAATCGTTACCCCTCTATTACATACAGAGTAACACGGACTTTAAAAGTATCCTTCAAAAAAGAAAAAAATAAACCCTGTTCGATGAAATAGGTTGTGTCCATTTTATTTCCTCAGCGATTACCCAGACCTCCACAGCAGCTGCTGTGGATGTGCATGGAATACTTTTTATATCTGATGGTGTCGAACATACAGATGAGTTGCCGTAAAGGCTGCTCACCTGCACAGGATTTAGTGTTACAGAACTGCTTTTAGGATGTAGCCTGAAACCCACGGCACACAGAGGGAAACGCGCTGCATCAGACTTGAGCCACCTAGGAGTCTGCAGCTAGCAGGCAGTTTGGAAAGGAAAACAGCGTAACCTTGCCGGTGCTATTCTTTGGATCACTCTGAGGCGGAAAAGAAAGGAGCAGTGAGTTTGAACTGAATCTGGGACTCCGCTCTGAGACAGGCTGTTTCCGTTCTGTATCCTGTGGTACAAACCTACCTGGGAAGGGCTGAACTTTTTTGGGAAATCCACTGGGAATTCTTTCTGGCAACAGCATCGGACCAAGGGTCGAGCATACCATACCAGGAGTGGGTCCAGGTGCCCTGACACAGTTGGCACCCTCAGCCAGACTGTCAGCAGGCTCAGCTGGCATGGGCTGGGTCTCCCTGCCTCCTCCACTGCTGGCAGAGCAGTGTCCCAGGGGGGGTCGGTCTGGGAACCAGGTGCTATTTCTTGAGTCTGGGAGACGGTCTCTGCTTTGGTTCTTTGTCTAGCTGTTCGGATGGAGTGGGGAGGATGTGCTGTGGGACTGCTGCAGGGATGGCAGAGGAGGCGTTGCCCAAAAGGGAAAGGCAAGGTGGTGCAGACCACTGACCTCAGCAAAGGGTGGTCCTGTCTCTGGGCAAGGGGCCAGACCCAAGGCCTTCCTCTTGGTGATGGCAGCAAACAAAAAACCCTGCACCCACTTGGGCCCATATCTGCCTGGACACTGACCACCTAGGGTGGTTTGGGGAACCTCCTCTGAAGGAGAGGTTTTCTGCAAGAGATGAGCACCAGTAGCAGTCCTTCTCCTTGTGTGGCCTGTGTCTTTGTGCAGCTTCTTTGGCTGGACTTCCGGGATGGAGGAACAGGAATACAATAGGAAACCTGGCAATAACCATCCCAGGAGAAGCATCTTTTGTGGGAAAGGACAGGGAGTGTGGGGCCCTTGATTTGAGCTCGAGATGGGAACCGGCAGCTGTTGTTGAGGTTAGGCAGAGCTGTGGCGGCGGTCTTGGCAGGGGAGGTCATGTCCACTGGCCTAGAGCTGGCTGGGGAGTGGATGAGAGAGGGGCTTGCAGGCTTCCAGCTGTGAACAGGCCTCTTCCTGCTCTTCATCCTTTGATGTTTTCCACCAGACAAATTAAGAGCTGCTTGTACTGAGGCAGCAAAGCCCCTGAATGTTTATCCAAGGCTGTCATTGGCGGTGAAAACGGAAACAGCCAGGACAGAGGATTGGAAAGAGGGGAGGCAGCTGCATGTAGGGCTGTCCTGCCTCTTCTTCCTTCTCCGTGAGGCCTTGCCTCTTCCCTTTAAGGGAAAAGAAGCTGGAAACGTGGGAAGGACGGGATTCATGCAATCTTGAGAATGTGGAAGGGGTTAGTGGGGAAAAACAGAAAGATGGAGAGGGTGCAAACTCCTCTGATTTTACTGAAAGACTGAAAGGAGGTGACACTCAAACTTGGTTGAGGCTGCACCAGGTTGAGATTAAAAGGGACAGTAAAGTACACAGATACCATGAGCAAGTTAAAGGGGAGGTAGCCCCTTCAACTGGCACGTGTGGCTCTTCAGACAGCCCTTATATCTATCTGTCTTGTTACTACAGACTCGCTAATGCAAACGCAATGAGATCTTTTAGGGTTTTATGGAAGTTTGCTAGAAAAATACTGGCTCCAAGGCCAGATCCTGGCTATGCTCGGGCATGAGAGACTGCAACCGCTAAAGACTGATGCTAAGCTGACCTTCATGCTGCCATCTAGTGTTGCCTGATAGACAGGAACAACATCCCGAAAAAGAAACTTCGAAGCTCCATAATGCTGTATTCAGAACAAACGTAATTTATTCCTTCTGATACAACGCT